CCACCATTTAACTGCACAATTAATAAACAATCATGCTACAGTTACCTCTTCCTCCGCATCTTTTTTACACTTTGCCACGTGAAATTTTTGATAATTTTTCCACTTTTAATGTCAACAAAAGATTACACAGCATATTCCATTACAGAAACATCCAACTCCACCTCAAAAGATTAAAAAAAAAAAAAAACGAAACGAAGTCTGAGAAAGATAGAATTAATAGAAACTCCGAAATTTCAAGCTATAAGCTCATTCAATATGAAGAAGTATTAATTAAAATTACAATTCAGAAAAACTAAAATAAATATTGGGATAATATATTGAGTTAATTTCTGGGAAAATGCAATGCAATTGCAGAGAGAGAGAGAGAGATTGACTTGAGTAGCGTTTTATTTTTAATTTATTTTCGATTTTATTATGGACTGAGTATTAGTCTACGCAGAAAGTCAAATCTCCAAATCCCATGGCTGTGGCTATTTAACGTGCGTTTGATAGCCATTATTTTAAAAAATAAAATTTTGGGAACGTCTTTACATTTGAAGTTCATTGTACAAAACATCCGTACGTTTTATATTTTTGCATTTTCAACCTTATTTTCTGTTGACATACAAAAATGAGGTCCAATTAAATGGTCGAAGAAATGGAGCCCAGTTAGAAAATTTGAGGGATAGGCCCAAATGAGACCATTGTAAAATATTGTGAACGCTCATAAATGGAGGACTATCATCGTCCAAGTCTGCAGGACACTCAGGATCAGAGCGAATGAAGTACCATGTTGTTGCTCAGAGCGACGATCCCATTTCTCGCCCAAGCCTTTGAAACGCCCAAAGATCTGAGTGAACATAGCGTCCTGTTGCTATTTAAAGCGACGGTTATTGAAGTAGTTATTGAGTAATCTTATCATGTCCCACGATCCAAGAATCTCGGTTGCAAGCAGTTAAAAGAGAAGAGTAATGACAATAGTTACAAGCGGCAGTTCTTTGGTAAGTCGGCTATTATGAAGAAAGTGACTAGTTATAGGACGATGAGCGGTTTAAAACAGTTCTACAATGAAAATTGTTAAAGGAGTATAAAAGAAAAAAGAAAACATAGAAGAAAAGACTCCGAATCAATCACTCTCA